ATGGAGGCGACCAGGCTGGACACGTTTATGATGTTTCCCTGACGCTGGCGCAGGTACGGCAACGAAAACTGGACAAAAAGATGTGAGCGTGAACATGTGATAAATACAAACTCACACACGCTCAGGAAGGACAAGGGTGTTTACGGGACTGGACCTGACACCAACAAGTAAAGGAAATATAGATGATAAACAAAAACACTGAAGTAATGAATTTTCCCAACAAAGCTTTTCTAAAAAAACAAAAAAATAACCAAGAGCTGTAATAAAATAAACAGTAGAATCAAACTCTTGAGGATGAAGTTTGAGTTTATAATGAATCATAAAAGGAAGTGATTCAACTTTCTGCAGCTCAAATCTGCTGAGCTCAAACGTTCCGCATTACACCCTGACTTCTGTTTTTTGGAAAATACCTCAGTTTTAGAAGTTACTTTTTCACTACATGTGAAAGTCAGGTTTTCAAACTGGCAAGTAAAGAGTTAAAATCCTGATGATTTTCATAAATGTGATATTTTTGATCAGAGCAGAGACAGATCTGTGGATTTAGTTGAAAAGTGTGAAAACATATGAATCTACCATTTTACAGATGTTTTTGTGAGTAGAACTTATGTCCTTAGGATTCTAAAGGGCTGTTCACACCAAAGCGTCAAAAAACGCCTTGACATCTCTATTTGGACGCCTTTGCATTTGAGTTTAGACGCCCCCGACGCACGTCTGACGCCGTGGACAAGACGGGAGAAAAATACTTGACGTGCGTCCGTTGCCCTGGAAACAAGAGCCTGGTCCTGGACCAGACTGAGAGAGAGTTTTTATGACATAAAACATCAGTTTATATTTATACTCGTCCCTGATTGGTCGACGCGCCGCATCTGATGCGAAACGTTCAGCATTTTTTAACTTCTTGACGCTGACGCCCTGGACGCGCGTCTAGAGCGTTAACGTGAAAATGCTCAAGACGCGCTGCGTCGACGCCAGATTCACGCTGCGCTGACGCCGAAGACGCGCCCCAAAAACTCAGGACGCCTCAGACACACGTCCACATCGACTTTACATAGAAACTGGACGTTTGACGCTGTGGTGTGAACGAACCTTAAGGTGAATCAATACTATACTACTACTACTACTACTACTAACTACTACTGCTACTCTCTACTACTACTATACTCTACTACCTACGCTACTGCTACTGCTACTACTACTACTACTACTACTGCTGCTGCTACTGCTACTGCTACTGCTACTGCTACTACTACTGCTACTGCTACTGCTACTGCTACTACTACTAACTGCTATACTACTACTGCTACTACCACTACTACTACTACTACTGCTACTGCTACTACTACTACTACTACTACTACTACTACTACTACTACTGCTACTGCTACTGTACTACTACTACTACTACTACTACTACTACTGCTACTACTACTACTACTACTACCACTGTCACTACTGCTACTACTGCTACTACTGCCGCTACTACTACTACTACTACTGCCGCTACTACTGTCACTACTGCTACTACTGCTACTACTGCCGCTACTACTACTACTACTACTACTACTACTACTACTACTACTACTACTGCTACTGCTACTACTACTACTACTACTACTACTACTACTACTACTACTACTACTACTACTACTACTACTACTACTACTACTACGCTACTGCTACTACTACTACTACTACTGCTGCACTGCTACTACTACTACTACTACTACTACTACACTAGCTACTACTGCTGCCTACTGCTACTACTACTACTACTACTCTACTACTACTACTACTACTACACTGCTACTACTACTACTACTGCTACTACTACTACTACTGCTACTACTACTACTACTACTACTACTACTACTACTGCTACTACTACTACTACTACTACTACTACTACTACTACTACTACTACTACTACTACTGCTGCTACTGCTACTACTACTACTACTACTACTACTACTGCTACTACTACTACTGCTACTACTACTACTACTACTACTACTACTACTACTACTACTACTACTACTACTACTACTGCTACTACTATACTACTACTGCTACTACTACTACTACTGCTATACTGCTACTAACTACTACTACTACTACTGCTACTGCTACTACTACTACTACTACTACTGCTTGCTACTACTACTACTACTACTACTACTATACTGACTACTACTGCTACTACTGCTTGCACTGCTACTACTACTACTGCTGCTGCTACTGCTCTACTACTACTACTACTACTACTGCTACTACTCTACTGCTACTACTTACTACTACTACTACTACTACTACTACTACTACTACTACTACTACTACTACTACTACTATTATTACTAGTACTACTGCGTGCTCGTTGGGTTCATCAGTGAGAGGAGCAGTTAAAATGAGGCTCGGACAGTATCTGCTCGTTGGGTTCATTACTTTGGAGGCGAGGAAGTAGCTGACGAGGTTCAGGTTGAGCAGGTCTCTGAACTCCTGAGCGCTCGTGTCGTCTGTGGGTTTGTGAGGAGGATCTGAAACGAGAGACGCTGGGTTTATTCAGTGGAGGCGACGGAGCAGCAACATCATCGTCTGTCGAGTCACTTTGTGGAAACTTCAGTCCAAAACTCGGTACGTTTAGTTTTTGTCACGTCATTTCAGGTGAAGCGGGAACTTGAGAAAAAAACGGCTTCGTGGTCTGGGTCAGTGGTGGAACATGACAAAGTAAAAGTAGTAAAGTTCTGTACTTGAGTGTACATTCTGAATATCTGTACTTTACTTGAGTGGAAACTTTTTACTTTTACTTCAGTACTTTTGAGAGCAGGGATCTGTACTTTCTGCTCCACTACATTTCTGAACTGGGATGGACGTTTCAGAAGTGATTTTAAACTGAACCTACACAAAAACTAAAAATGCCACAAACTGGAAGCTTCCTGGGACACACACATAAAACTGTACCTCCATTACACCCTGACGTCTGTTTTCTGGAAAATATCTCAGTTTTAAGACAGATGGTCCACCCACAGAACAAAACACCGAGTCACAAACAAAACAATGTGCTCTACTCCATTCAGTGAAGTGAAAACTGCAGCGAGAACCAAACTGGAGAAACAAAACAGCTACTTCACAAGAGGATGAACCAACACAGACGAGAGAGCAACACAGGACCACAGTCTGTTGTACATCTCCACTTAAAACCCTCGGGTCGCTCCTTTGAGGACAGTGAGGTACAAATCTGAGCCAGAGAAAAGACACGGTTTGAGAGGAGAGTTAAATAGGCTATTTTGCTAACAAAGAGAAACCTATTTACAATTCCATCCTCAAACCTAAATCAAAGTAACAAGTGAACAACAAAAGGAGTCAGGTCAGGTCCAGAAGTGTGGAAGCTTCATCATAACTGAATGATTCTGATAATAAGACCCTGATAATAATAAGTACAAGTTCAATAGGCCGAACTAACAAACAGAAACTTTAAACAGGTAGGTGTGTTAGTTTTAGAGTAGTTTTAGTGTAGTTAGCTCCTCCCTTCAGACAGATATAAGGAAGTGTCCACCAGCGTCTGGCCAGAACTGAACAAACAGTTTGGATGAGCTGAGGAACATATTCGACCAAAGTAAATTTTTGACCTGCTGACAAACTGAATTTCTCCTTTTTTCACTTTTAGAAGTCATTTTTTCACTTCGTGTGAAATAAAAAAATTTCAAACTTAACTTAGGGTTAAGATCCTGATGATTTTCATAAATCTGATATTTTGATCAGAGCAAAGACAGATCTGTGGGTTTAGTCAAAAAAAAGTGTAGAAAAAATATGAATCTATGATAATTTTACAGATGTTTTTGTGAGTTCACATTTATGTCCTTAGGATTTTAAGTGACACTTTTTTGTTCTGAATGATCCAATGCAATTTATTTTTTTCTTTTGGAACTAAAAACTTAAACAAGAATTTGGACCTTCCACAAAATTTGGTGTCTTTAGCATGAACTGAATTGAAATATTGGGCTGATGAAATAAAAAAAAAAGCTAAATGGACAAAAAGGCTTAAGTACAATCTTAAATGAGTACTTTAATACTTTTACTTAAGTAGATCTGTTCATGTGATATTTTTACTTCAGTATTTTTTTTTTTAACTTCAGTATCTGTACTTTTACTTAAGCTAAAAAAAAATTATACTTCTTGCACCACTGATCTGTACAGAACTTATTTACTGTGAGATTTCTCTGGATCATGGGACAGGGACGGGTTCAGATCTATAACGTCTCTGGATCATGGAGGGGGATCAGGGTGGATCAGGATCATTCAGATCTAATAACGTCTCTGGATCATGAGGGACGGGTTCAGATCTATAACGTCTCTGGATCATGAGGGACGGGTTCAGATCTATAACGTCTGGATATGAGGGAAGTTCAGTCCTGGATCAATGAGGGACGGGTTCAGATCTATATGTCTCTGGACAATCAGAGGGACATGAGGGACAGGTTCAGATCTATAACGTCTCTGGATCATGAGGGACAGGTTCAGATCTATAACGTCTCTGGATCATGAGGGACAGGTCTTCAGATCTATAACATGTCTGGATCATGAGGGACGGGTTCAGATCTATAACGTCTCTGGATCATGGAGGGGATCTATAAGATCATGAGGCAGGGACATTCTCTGGATCAATAACGTCTCTGGATCATGAGGGACAGGTTCAGATCTATAACGTCTCTGGATCATGAGGGACAGGTTCAGATCTATAACGTCTCTGGATCATGAGGGACAGGTTCAGATCTATAACGTCTCTGGATCATGAGGGACAGGTTCAGATCTATAACGTCTCTGGATCATGAGGGACAGGTTCAGATCTATAACGTCTCTGGATCATGTGGGACAGGTTCAGATCTATAACGTGTCTGGATGAAGTGGGACTCACGCCAGCCTGCGTTGTTGACCAGACAGTCGATGTGTCCAAAGTTCTCCACGGTGAAGGAGACGAGCCTCTGAAAACAAACACAGACTTCAGACTGAAACGGGGGACAGAGCGACGAGCAGAGAGACAAACTAACTCAACACGAAGAAAAAAAAATCTGACATTTTCTCTTGTCCGTGTGATTCCTCCATCCCTTTAATTTAATTTTTACTCTTAAAACTGCTGTCTGTAAGTTTTAGTTTTAGTTTTTTTACCAGCAGAAGGCAGATGTGAAACTTGCTCCACTTCTTCCCTGACCTGGCCCCTCCCTTCTCCTCGCCTGGTCCCTCACCTTTCACCTACATTTCTCTTCACTTGGTGCCTCCCCTTTCACCTGTCCCCTCCCCCCTCACCTGTCTCCTCCTCTCACCTGCATCTCTCGTCCCCTAGCCCCTCACCTTTCACCTGTCCTCTCTCCTTTCACCTGTCCCGTCCGCTCTCACCTGGCCCCTCCCCTCACCTGTCCCCTCATCTTTCACCTACATTTCTCTTCACCTGGCTCCTCCCCCTCTTCACCTGTCCCCTCTCTTCTCACCTGGCCCCTCCTCTCACCTGCATCTCCCCCCACATGTCCCCTCCCCTCTCACCTGTCCCATTCCCTCTCACCTGGCCCCTCCCCTCACCTGGCCCTTCCCTTCTCACCTGCATCTCTCCTCACCTGGCCCCTCCTCTCACCCGTCCCCTCCCCTTTCACCTGTCCCCTCCCCTCTCACCTGTCCCCTCCCTTCTCACCTGTCCCATCCCCTCTCACCTGGTCCCTCACCTTTCACCTACATCTCTCCTCACCTGGCCCCTCCCCTCTCACCTGTCCCCTCCCCTCTCCTCACCTGGCCCCTCCCCTCTCACCTGTCTCCTCCCCTCTCCTCACCTGTTCCCTCCCTTCTGTTTTAAAGCCTGTTTCATAACGACAGAAACCTCCCCGTGAGCACTTGGAGTTCGTTTACCTGAATGTCGTCCTCTTTGTTCATGTCGCAGCTCAGGAACTTGCAACATCCTGGTCCTTTGGGGTTTAGCTCCGCCTCCAGAGCCTCACCTGCCGCACCTGTGACACACGTGACCCCGGTGTGACCCTCACGTGACCCCTGTGTGACCCTGAAACTACACTCAGCCTTTTTTCTGTTCCGATGTGAAAATACTCACGTCCTCTGGCGCAGAACACCACTTTGGCTCCGTTCTCCACTGAAAAAACAGAAAAAAAAGTGGTTATTATAAAACTATTCTAACATTTTTACATTTAAGTTTAGTTATTGCACCATATTTTGATTATCTGTTTACATCTCCAAAGCTCAGCCCCACCCTGTGATGTCATTAAGTGGTAGTTTTCAAGTTGAACAGCTCCTTTTACCTTATAATAATATATTGTATTATATTATAATAATACTCCCTACGAACTGACGACTACACAGCGCCAGCCCCTTTTATGAACAATGAACTTATCTTTATGTCTTCACCATATGTTTACTTAATTACAGATTAACTTAGATAAATGTGATTTATAAAATGTGCTTATTTATTTATTTATTATTATTATTAATAATAATAATAATAATAAAATAACTGTATACCAATTATTATCATTATTATTCTTATTATTATTTTATTTATTTATTTGTTTTTTGTTTTTATTATTTTAATTTTATTATTATTGTTTATATTTTATTTTACCCTTTCAGTTGCATTAGAACGTTATCTATTTATTTATTTTTTTGCTATTGCCCAACTTGTGTCTTGTATATTTTAAGTTACTTATTAATAAAATAAAAAAAAATGCGCAAAGAGCTACTTCCTGTAAACATGACAAACTTTTTCTTTCACTCAGACACTTTAAAGTTTCATTTCAGGCACCACGTTTGTAAAAAAAAATAAATAAATAAAAAAAAAAGTTGAAGAGTTGTGGACTTTACCGAACGCGGTGACGATCCCGCGGCCGATGCCTTTCGATCCTCCGGTCACAATCACCACTTTGTCCGCGTAACGGGCCATGGCACCGCGGGGACGCACGGAGAGAAACCCGGGGACGCACGGAGAGAGACCCGGGGAGGAGCACGGTGCCGCGGCTGCAGGACCGGGGAGCGCCGCTGTCTGAGGCCGGGGCAGGTGCACGGAGCGGCGGACGTCAGACCCGGACGCGCCGCCGTAAACTTCGGGAAACTCCAAATGTTTTGACTTTAAGAACCAAACGTGTCCGTGACTTCCGGGGTGTTCAGTGAGATGACGTAACGTGGTTTGAACGTAAATAAGTTTGATGCAGAAATAAGAGGAACAGTGGATCGACGCGCGGAAACGACAGTAAACCGCCCACGAGGCAGATTAAAAACACTACGGGACATTTTATTTGGGGTTATTTTAATGACGGAGCAACAGCGACGCCCAGTGGAGAGAGCTCAGAACTTTGACTGAAACACAGAGTTTAAAAAAAATATATAAACGGTAAAAAAAAAAAAAAAAAAAATCTAAATAAGTCGCAAAAAAGAGCAAAGAAGACATAATTATAAAAATGTAAATGTACAAGTCAAAATAAAATTGAAAAATAAGTAATAAAATATAAAATCTCT